CCCTCCCCCCCCCCCCCTTTTAACTTGCACAGCATCAGGGACAGTATTAGGATCTCAAGCATGGCATGAGAAGGTCCCTCTTAGGGGCTATGCATACCATTCCTCCTTCACACCCTTGTACAGAAGAAAAGCCTACCATTCTCTTCCGGCGTCGCCATTCTCTGCAATACAGTTTCTTCTCATTATATACCTGCAACCAGCAAGAGGGAGGAGCTCTTTTATTCCCAGCACCCAGCAGAATGGCTTGCAAAGGCCGAGAACCAGAAGCACAACGACACAGGGCACAGAGCATTCACAGTACATGGAAGGACAAGGAGAAATGGAAAACAGTCCTGCCTTTATAGAGCAGAGACTATTTGGCAGGTGAAGAGGCAGGGCAGTGAAAGAAAGGGCACACTGGTTGCCTTGTGAGGAGTGCCCGATGAAGTGGGCATCTTCCTTCAATTCATCCAGCTTGGATGAACTTGGGTTCAGTTTTGAGGCTGCACAGACCGTGAATGCCGCAGAGGCTGGTGCTGCAAGCATCATCGAGGTGCCACGAAGGCACCAAAGCACGTTCTGTCTTTTTTCCTCGAGGGCCCCTCTAAATGGCAGGGGGAGGCAGCAGAAGGGTAGCCAGAAGCCATGATGCCGGTCTCTGCTAGTGGGGCCTCCCACGGCAGCTGCGTTACCTTTTCTTTCTCCTCAGGGGTCACATGATTGGCAGCAGATTTAATCCGCTCCAGTTTCTCTGTATAATTGGCACAGTCCTTTTTTAATTCTTCAATCTCTTTCACCATTTCTGGAGTTGTCATAGAGCCCTTCAGTTCTTTCAGTTCTGAAATGGAATTGCTCGTTTAAAATGGCAGATAGGGCATCTCTCGGTGGGAAAGACTACAGACGTGTTGTGCACTTCAGCCCAGTACACACACACCCCCCACAAAGGCGACAAGCTGTCTGGGAGCACATCTGCACACAAGGCCAGTGCGGCAGACTGACAGCCCGACTGGACACACCTGACTCCATAAGGCAGCAGCTCTGTTGGAGGGTCTGCACTTTGCAAGACAGATCTGAAATCTCATTGTCCAGGACCTTGAGCTCTGAGTCACTCGCACTGGGGAAGTGATCCTAGAATACAAAAATGATGGGGAAGGTTATTCATCTGACAAACCGGATGGCTGGCAGGGAACAGTAGCTGCCGCCACTTCACAGAGTGTACTCTGCTGGCAGGCAACCCATTTTGCCAGGGAAGGGTGGATACATCAGTCAGTGCTGGTGTGGACAGCCAGACTCCTCCCCCACAGGTGTTCTGCCAGCACACCACAGACCTCTCTCCACAAATAATGAGTAGTAACTTGGCCCCGGTCACACGGGCCGGATAT